GGTTTAGCGCGAGCATTCCTTGAGTGGTGAATTAGAAGTGTCCGTGTCGTTTTGAGTCGATTTGCTATTTGTGGAATTCCCGATAGCTAAAAACCCTTAGTGAAAACCCTCCTGGTTAACCCGGACCCTGGCTGACCCTGGACCTGGTCAACCGGGCCCTGGTCTGACCCTGGACCTGGTGTAATCCTGGACCTGGTCTGACCCTGGACCTGGTCTGATCCTGGACCTGGTCTGATCCTGGACCTGGTCTAATCCTGGATCTGACCTGATCCTGGATCTGACCTGATCCTGGATCTGGCCTGATCCTGGATCTGGCCTGACCCTGGACCTGGTCTGACCCTGGCCTGCACCTGGCCTGACCCTGGACCTGACCTAACCTGACCCAGGACCTGGCTTGACCCAGGACCTGGCTTGACCCAGGACCTGTCTTGACCCAGGACCTGGCTTGACCCAGAACCCGGCCTAACCCTCGACCTGGCCTTATCCTCCATATTCCTTGACTCTCCAAATGGCCTAATTCTCCACATGGCATAAATCTCCACATGGCCTCACTATGAACCTGACTTGACTCAAGATCTGGCTTTGACTCGTGACCAGTCAGTATATAAACACAGAGGTATTTCTCAGTGTATATAAACTGAGAGCTTCCTCTGATTCCTAAATAAAGTATATCTTGACAGGTTCTTAACAGATGACGTTCACTTTTATTAAACCTCGTGTAGCAAATAATCTTTGAAACCTAATAAACCAGCCATTCCAGCTCAGTCGATGGGTTTAGCAAAAATATTAAGGTGATTCTCTATCACAGTTACTCTAAACTGAATTAGAATTAGAAACAAAAATCAGCATATACTTACTGAAGCAGTTCCAGTTGTCTCTTCATATGATCGTACTGATGCATGTATTCCAGCACAGTCTCCCGTTCACTGGGGAAAAGAAAATGGTATATGGCAGCTTAGTGGTATGTGGTACAACAATTCTGGAAGGTGCTGCTCACAAGGGAAAATACCCGGGATCAACCCCGGGTGGGAGCGAGGTGTACAAGCAAGTCTCCTAATACCTGCTGCCCCTGTTCACCTAACACCGCTGCCCCTATTTTCCTAATACCAGCTACACTTGTTCACTTAAAACCCGCTACTCCTGTTCACCTAACACCTGCTGCACCTGTTAAAATACCAGCTGCACCTGTTCAACGAATTACTGCATGCCTAGAACTTATTCGACTGTTGTATAGACAATACAAATATGAATTTAAAGGCATTAACAGTGCCGTGGTTTATAATCTACACAAGAAATTAGTTTATTGTGTATTTATTGCTGGTTTACTGATATAAAAATTGGTTTAACACTTGCCTGTGCAGTTCCCGACATTTCTCCTCGTACTGAAGCCTCATCTGCGCCATGTCTGAGCGCAGTAGGCCTAGGTTTGTGGTGGTCTCGTGTAGGTTCATGTTGAGGGCGCGGTTGGCATGGTAGGCCTCTTCCAGTTTCCTCCTCACCTCCTCCACCTTCTCAGGTCCAGAGCCTTCCTCCCTCCTCAGCCACGAGTCTACCTGGAGGTAGTGAATGACAGATGTGAGGTAGCAGATGTAAGTGGCAGGTGTGAGGGTGGCAGATGTGAGTGGCAGGTGTGAGGGGAGGGTAACAGGTGTGAGGGTGGCAGGTGTGAGAGGGAGGGTAACAGGTGTGACGGTGGCAGGTGTGAGGGGGAGGGTAACAGTGTGTGAGGGTGTGCGAGGTGTGAGGGGAGGGTAACAGGAGTGAGAGTGGCAGGTGTGAGGGGAGGGTAACAGGTGTGAGGGTGGCAGGTGTGAGAGGGAGGGTAACAGGTGTGCAGGTGGCAGGTGTGAGGGGGGAAGGGTAACAGGTGTAGGGTGCAGGTGTGAGGGGGAGGGTAACAGGTGTGAGGGTGGCAGGTGTGAGGGGGAGGGTAACAGGTGTGAGGGTGGCAGGTTGAGTGAGGGAGGGTAACAGGTGTGAGGGTGGCAGGTGTGAGGAGGGGGTAACAGGTGTGAGGGGGAGGTAGGTGTGAGGGTGGCAGGTGGTGAGGGTGTGAGGGGGAGGGTAACAGGTGTAGGGTGGCAGGTGTGAGGGGAGGGTAACAGTGTGTAGGGTGCAGGTGTGAGGGGGGGTACAGTGAGGGTGTCGGTGTGAGGGAGGTAACAGGTTGAGGGTGGCAGGTGTGTGGGAGGAGGGTAACAGGTGTGAGGGTGGCAGGTGTGAGGGGGAGGGTAACAGGTGGTGAGGGTGGGCAGGTGTGAGGGGGGAGGGTAAGAGTGTGAGGGTTGCAGGTGTGAGGGGGAGGGTAACAGGTGTGAGGGTGGCAGGTGTGAGGGGGAGGGTAACAGGTGTGAGGGTGGCAGGTGTGAGAGGGGAGGGTAACAGGTGTGAGGGTGGCAGGTGTGAGGGGGAGGGTAAGGTTTGAGGGTGGCAGGTGTGAGGGGCAGGGTAACAGGTAGGTGCAGGTGTAGGGTGGCAGGTGTGAGGGGTGAGGGTAAAGGTTGTGAGGTGCAGGTGTGAGGGGGAGGGTAACAGGTGTGAGGTGGCAGGTGTGAGGGGGGTAACAGGTGTGAGGGTGGCAGGTGTGAGAGGGGAGGGTAACAGGTGTGAGGGTGGCAGGTGTGAGGGGGAGGGTAACAGGTGTGAGGGTGGCAGGTGTGAGGGGAGGGTAACAGGTGTGAGGCGGTGTGAGGGGGGCAGGTGTGGGAGGGTGGCAGGTGTGAGGGGAGGTAGGTACAGGTGTGAGGGTGGCAGGTGTAGGGTGGTACAGGTGTGAGGGTGGCAGGTGTGAGGGGGGCAGTGTGAGGGTGGCAGATGTGAGGGGAGGCAGGTGTGAGGTGGCAGGGTAGTAACAGGTGTGAGGGTGGCAGGTGTGAGGGTGGCAGTTGGGTAACAGGTGTGAGGGTGGCAGGTGTGAGTGGCAGTGTGAGGGTGCAGGTGTGAGGGTGGCAGGTGTGAGGGTGGCAGGTGTGAGGGTGGCAGGTGTGAGGGTGGCAGGTGTGAGGGTGGCAGGTGTGAGGGTGGCAGGTGTGAGGGTGGCAGGCGTGAGGGTGGCAGGTGTGAGGGTGGCAGGTGTGAGGGGGGAACAGGTGTGAGGGTGGCAGGTGTGAGTGGGTCAGGTGTGAGGGTGGCAGGTGTGAGGGGAGGGTGACAGGTGTGAGGGTGGCGGTGAGGGTGGCAGTGTGTGAGGGTGGCAGGTGTGAGGGTGGCAGGTGTGAGGGTGGCAGGTGTGAGGGTGGCAGGTCTGAGAAACTCACCCACACACTCCCCTTATATATATATAATTTCTTCCACATTCCATTTTTTCTGACTTAATTTCCACCATTCTGAAGACTTTTTATATTACATTGATCTTTGTGTTAACTTTCAATCTTTCTGAACCCTCCTACACCAGCCTCCCACCAACCTCCCACCAGCCTCCCACCAGCCTCCCACCAGCCTCCCACCAGCCTCCCACCAGCCTCCCACCAGCCTCCCACCAGCCTCCCACAAGCTGTATCATCAACAAAGAAAAACCGTGACAATTTCCACCTTATATCAGATTTCATGTTTACAACATCATGGAGAGCCCCGTCCATAAAGACGTCACATATGTCTGTTTTTGACTAAATCCTACTGGAAAGCATTTCTTTTCTCTCTTTCATACCCTAACTGTAGCCTCACTGTCACTTCCACATATATGCAACACCTGCCACATCTCTTCCTTATCCACCTTACAGTACGTATTTTACTAAATCCATAGCTGTAAAAAGGTGAATACTTATTCTGATCTCATTGCTGGTGCCTAATTTGTTGTAGTGCAAACACTTGACATACACATACCCCTCTCTTCGTAAATCCATCTTGTTCGTTTGTAATCCTGCTTTTTGGTCTTTCCCGTAACTTCGGAGAATATTTTTTTGCTGTACACTTTAGCCAGTATACGTAGCAGATTTGCTCATTTTCTCAAAGTGTTGTCTCTGTCTGATAGCCGATATGCAAAACAACCACAGGGAAAGTTGAATGATAGTTTTAGGCCTTTCGTGTTGCAATCAACATATCAAGAGGTTGTAATGTTGTAGAAATGAGTAGGAAGACCATGCAGATCCGTTCAGGGGAACGTTTTTGCTCGAAACGTTCATCTACCCCTGTCGTTGTTTTGCATCTTGTATCGCTTGTTACTGATTATTGCATAGCTGATATACACCAGCTATGTTCAAAGGATTTTAATAATTCGTTTCAGTAATTTGTCCTCTAACTGCTGTTTCCCCTCCAAGTCTTTCTCTTCCTTACCATTCTTTCTTCCCTCATGTAACCCCTTCCCTCTTATTCACCTTCTGGAAGATCTTAAGATGCGTCTGAAGTTCGGCCATTTCTTGTTCCATCTGATCTTGTAGCTGTCGCTTCTCCTCCTCGCTCTCCTGCCTCGCCTGCTGCTTCGCCTTCTGCTCCACCTTCGCCACCTGGTCTTCGATCTCGTTTTCTAAACTCTTAAGGGCAGTTGCATGGTGCTCTCTCTCCCTGAGTGTACAAAAATACGCGATTAACACGCCATCTGTGTTCACTTCCTTGTATAAGGAAACACCAAGATACTAAAGACTACCTCGTGTCATCATGCAATCAGAATACATGTTAACTGTGCTAGAAACTCACTGAACAGAGGTTCAGAATCATTGTAAGCCAGTTCTAACATTAGCAGAACAGCGCGATATCCACTGCACTAAAAACTTAATTTCGTACTTGTCAGTAATTTTTTTTATCAGGAGAAAACTGGAACACGGAATGAAATACAGAAATAGCATATGATGTATAACTCCTACGAATAAAACTGGAACTGAAATAGAGTGATAAAAAGTCACATGAGCTATACTCTGAATCTTCGAAATATGAAATAAAATATTTTAGCACATTTTTCTTATTGTTTTTAATGTTTCACCAGTGTTATATTCGTCTGCAATCGAACTGAAGAAGCCTGCGGAGCAGGCGAAATGTTTCGACAATAAAAATACCCGAGCGTTACACATGTGTCATATTTATCAACTTGTAGGTAATTGTACCATTATATTACGAAATGGAGTGAGGTAGGCGGTGTGTGGCTGTGGTTCCAGGACTTACTTCTTGTAGAGAGTCTCGAGACTGTGATGGTGGGACTGCAGCTGCTGGATCTCTGCCAGCAGTGTTGAGAGCACCGTGCTCACACGACTTGCAACATCAATGGGTGCTGGGGAAGCCTCCAGGTCCTGCAGAAGCTCACGGATCTGAACACCGCTGAGGACACAATTTAGTTCGGTGGATCATGACCTGTCGACTGCAAGTAACCTGTACACTAGTATTAAGAATATTAGCGTACCTGATTACCTTTTACTGTCTTCACTCGCCCACTCAGAGCCCACTTAGAGCCCACTCTTTGCTTGAACCACTTAGAACTGAAATAAATCATTTCAATTCTTATACTCTTAATAACATGTGATTGAAAAACGGACCCCTTACAACATTTATGCAATTAAAAACATGGAACTGAAGCAAGCCTTTACAATACATGTAATTTTAGGTCAGTTTAAAGTGTTTATAGCACATGACGTTGTCCATATCGAGTCTCATTTCATTATAAACACTGAGTAGACATCTGTCTTCGGGGAAGAGAAATAGGACAAGGATATTGCGAACAAGTAAGGACAGCATACGGCAGAACAAAGTCATATAACAGGTAAGGACGATCTGTGGTAGAACAAAGTCACGAATGCCAATTAAGAACCTGCTATAGTAGAACAGACATATAAAAGGTATGGACGACCTGTAGTAAAACAAAGTCACATATAGGTAAGAACGACCTATGGTAGAATAGTCACATATACCAGGTAAGTCCGACCTATAGTGGAACACAGTAACATATAGCAGGTAAGGACGACCTGTGGCGGAACACAGTAACATGCAGCAGGAAAGGACGACCTATGACCACAGCTATATAGACAGTGAATCTGGGGCGAATCTAAACACTTCCACAGGTGTGTTCTCTTTCATGTCAAGGACTCTCCTGTGTGACGCTCAGACGTCATTCTACCAGAGATTTATAAATCTGGATGAGTAACACTATTTCTGGGTTGCTGCTAGATTTTTTATTACATATGAACGTATATATAGTAAGATTTACTTCAAGTGTTCAGAGTTCAGACGGCAGATGAGAGGAAAATATATCAAAGAAAGATTTTGTCATATAATGAGGCATGCTAGCGTGTATATCAGCTTGCGCGCATTCATTCTTGTCTTCCTAAATACACTTATTTTCTCTTACATAAATACATATGTAGATGTACTCTTCTATACATTCAGGCATACACTGGTTTCTATGAAATTTTTTTAATTTATCCTTGTATTGGCCTATTTTCTTGCACTCGCGCTCACCAGTCATACACAAGTAAGCATGTATATATTATATATATATATATATATATATATATATATATATATATATATATATATATATATATATATATATATATATATATATATATATATATATATGTCGTGCCGAATAGGCAGAACTTGCGATCTTGGCTTAAATAGCAACGCTCATCTTGCCATATAGGACAAGTTAAAATTTGTGTATGCAATAATTTCGCCAATATCATTCTGAACCTGACGAAAAAAATATATTTCACTGTGTTTGTTTAGTATTAAATTATTGTAAACAAATCTAAAATATATTTCGTTGGGTTAGGCTTAAATAAATTGTTCTTGTTATAATAAGGTTAGGTAAGTTTTCTAAGTTCCTTTTGGTTGAAAATTATAAATTTTTACATCAACATTAATGAAAAAAATATATCTTTGAACGTATAAGAGAAAATTTTAGAAAAGATTTAATTTTAAATGAGTTCTTGCTAATTGACCAGTTTTACATATTCGGCACGACATATATATATATATATATATATATATATATATATATATATATATATATATATATATATATATATATATATATATATATATATATAGTGCCGAATAGCAGAACTTGCGATCTTGGCTTAAATAGCAACGCTCATCTTGCCATATAAGACAAGTGAAAATTTGTGTATGCAATAATTTCGCCAAAATCACTCTGAACCTAACGTAAAAAATATATTTCACTGTGTTTGTTTAGTATTAAATTATTGTAAACAAATCTAAAATATATTTAGTTGGCTTAGGTTGAAATAAATTGCGCTTGTTATAATAAGGTTAGGTAAGTTTTCTAAGTTCCTTTTGGTGCAAAATTATAAATTTTTACATCAACATTAATGAAAAAAATATATCTTTAAACGTATAAGAGAAAATTTTAGAAAGGACTTAATTTTAAATGAGTTACTGCTAATTGACCAGTTTTACATATTCGGCACGACATATATACATATATATATATATATTATATATATATATATATATATATATATATATATATATATATATATATATATATATATATATATATATATATATATATACGCAGATATTGAAAGTGTATCGAATAGGTGATAGGTTACTGAAAGTAATTAAGAGTTTTTACGAAGATATTGAGGCTCAGGTTAGAGTATGTAATAGAGAGGGAGATTATTGCCTATGTAAAGGTAGGCCTTAGACAGGGATGCATAGTGTTACAATGGTTGTTCAATATATTTATAGATGGGGTTGTAAGAGAAGTGAACGCTCGGGTGTTAGCAAGAGGTGTGGGATTAAGAGATAAAGAATCTAACACTAAGTGGAAGTTGTCACAGGTGCTTTTTGCTGATGACAATGTGCTTTCGGGACATTCTGAAGAGAAGTCGCAGTGGTTGATGTACGAATTTGGAAGGGTACGTAACAGAAGGATATTAAAAGTGAACACAGGAAAGAGTAAGATAAGGATAACAAAAAAAATTTGGTAATGAAAGATTGGATATCAAACTGGAGGGAGAAAGTATGGAGTAAGTGAATGTATTCAGATATTTGGGAGTGGACTTGTCAGCAGATGGATCTATCAAAGAGGAGGTGAATCATAGAATTGATGAGAGGGAAAAGATGAGTGGAGCACTGAGGAGTCTATGGAGACGAAGAATGTTATCCATGGAAATAAAGAAGGGAATGTATCATAGTTTAGTGGTACCAACACTTTATAAGGGTATGAAGCATAGGTGATGAATGTTGCATCAAGGAGAAGGCTGGAGGCAGTGGAGATGTCGTGTATGAGGGCAATGTGTGGTGTGAATAGCATGTAGAGAATCCATAGCTTGGAGATTATAAGGATGTGTTTCTAAAATTATTATCCAGAGGACTGAGGAGCGGTTTTTAATGTGGTCCGAACATTTACAAAGGATGGAGCGAAATAGAATGACTAGGAGGGAGTATAAATTTGTAGTGGAAGAAAGGCGGGGTAAGGGTAAAGGAGGTTTTGTGTGCGAGGGGCTTGAACTTCCAGCAAGCGTGCGTGAGCGTGCTAGATAAGAGCATTTGGAGGCAAATGGTTTTTTATGACTTGACGTGCTGTTGGAGTGTGAGCAAAGTAACATTTATGAAGGAATTCAGAAAAACCGGTTAGTCGGGTATGAGTCCTGGTGGTGGAGAGTACAGTGCCTCGCTCTGAAGGGCGGGGTGGAGATATGATAGCTTTATAATTGTAGTACAGACATGCCTCCGCCAAGACAGTGATGGAGTGAATGATGATGAAAGTTTATTCTTTGTCAGGTCACACTGACTTGGTAGGAAGAGGCCGATGTCTTAATAAAAATGTCATTTTAATATTAAATAAATTTAAACTGAGCTATGACATATTTAGTAGAATTTGGCTAAAAAAAATACTAAGTTTAAATTAGGTTAAGTGAAGTTTCTAAGTTTAGTTTGCTCATAACAAGAAAAGGAAAAATATTACATCATTCTTAATTAAATTTTTTCTATCAATCTGTAAATTTTGGAAGAAAAGGATTTATTTATAAGGACGTTCGGCCTATTCGGCGCGATATAATATATATATATATATATATATATATATTATATTATATATATATATATATATATATATATATATATATATAAATATATATATATATATATATAATATATATGTTTATATTGCCAAACAATATCATATTCCTTATCACTGTCAACTGCCTCAAATGTTCTATTGAAGAACGTCAGTAAGTTTGTCAGGCAGGAACGACCTCTCGTGAATCCATGCTGAGATTCATTTATCAAGTTATGCTCTTCAAGGTGACTTCTGATAATTTGCAAGAGGCGTGGAGTTAAAAGATAAAGAATCACACACAAAGTGGGAGTTGTCACAGCTGCTCTTTGCTGATGACACTGTGCTCTTGGGAGATTCTGAAGAGAAGTTGCAGAGATTGGTGGATGAATTTGGTAGGGTGTGCAAAAGAAGAAAATTAAAGGTGAATACAGGAAAGAGTAAGGTTATGAGGATAACAAAAAGATTAGGTGATGAAAGATTGAATATCAGATTGGAGGGAGAGAGTATGGAGGAGGTGAACGTATTCAGATATTTGGGAGTGGACGTGTCAGCGGATGGGTCTATGAAAGATGAGGTGAATCATAGAATTGATGAGGGAAAAAGAGTGAGTGGTGCACTTAGGAGTCTGTGGAGACAAAGAACTTTGTCCTTGGAGGCAAAGAGGGGAATGTATGAGAGTATAGTTTTTACCACGCTCTTATATGGGTGTGAAGCGTGGGTGATGAATGTTGCAGCGAGGAGAAGGCTGGAGGCAGTGGAGATGTCATGTCTGAGGGCAATGTGTGGTGTGAATATAATGCAGAGAATTCGTAGTTTGGAAGTTAGGAGGAGGTGCGGGATTACCAAAACTGTTGTCCAGAGGGCTGAGGAAGGGTTGTTGAGGTGGTTCGGACATGTAGAGAGAATGGAGCGAAACAGAATGACTTCAAGAGTGTATCAGTCTGTAGTGGAAGGAAGGCGGGGTAGGGGTCGGCCTAGGAAGGGTTGGAGGGAGGGGATAAAGGAGGTTTTGTGTGCGAGGGGCTTGGACTTCCAGCAGGCATGCGTGAGCGTGTTTGATAGGAGTGGATGGAGACAAATGGTTTTTAATACTTGACGTGCTGTTGGAGTGTGAGCAAAGTAACATTTATGAAGGGATTCAGGGAAACCGGCAGGCCGGACTTGAGTCCTGGAGATGGGAAGTACAGTGCTTGCACTCTGAAGGAGGGGTGTTAATGTTGCAGTTTAAAAACTGTAGTGTAAAGCACCCTTCTGGCAAGACAATGATGGAGTGAATGATGGTGAAAGTTTTTCT